CCCTGTATTAGTCTATTGTGTCGTGTCAGAATGATGCCAGTCTTAACCTATCTTGTCTTCTGATTACACGATTTTCTCTTGATTTAATTTCTGATATATTGAATATGCTTTGCAAGGAAATAGTGGAAACTTATAATTTTGTTTTGTTCGATGTTTGCTTATTTATATTATCAGTGTGCAGTTTATAACTAACAAATTTTTGCAGAGAAGGAAATTTTTTTGGATTTGACCAGAAGCTTTCGAAGGTGTGAACGCTGTTTACCTTTCAATCGTTTCGAAAGCTGATCCTTCAGGAAGGAGAGAAGACAGTGCTTGTGTGGTTTGATACACCATATAGTCAAGCTGTATACGGCCTCGTGGATAAATTAGGTCAGTATATGGTTTAGATAATTTGTGCTAGAAAGCTTAACTATTGTTTTTCTAAATCTTCTAATTGCATTATGAGTACTTATTTATTTATTTTATTCAGAAGCACTATTGTGTTTCTAATCTTGTTGTCTAAACATGATTGTCTTTTAAAAAAATACCACCTTTCAGGTAGTTTAGTGGTGAGACTTGTCTTTTCACCCTTTGAAGAAAGTTCATATACAACATTTGCAAGGTCTGCCTCGGGTTCTATTTCTTTCTTGTTTCTTGATGTTTGAACTTTAAAGCTGTCTTGCTCTCGTTTCAATTATTATTTACTTCTACTTCACTCTTGCTCATTATGATTTTCCGCCTCTTTAGAAATCATAATACATATAGCTTTTGTTGTTCACGCACCTCTTGTTTATTATCTCTCTCTTCCTCATTCACTGCAGTGTGTTAGGTTTAATTTACTACCAGTTAATTATTATTGTTGTTGTTGGTTAATCAGAAAGCACTGTTTTAGTTGGTGATCGGTAAATTAGTAAGTGTACTAATCTGTCAATGTAGTAATAAAATGAGAAATCCCTAGTGTCGATCTCAAGGATTGCTTGACGATATAGAGTTCTGGTTATACTTTAGTTAAACAAAAGCTTTGAGAGTTTTGGATTGGAATTTTGCAAAGTAGAAAGTAAAATGCAGTAAAAAGTAAATAAAGCAGTTAAACACTTTAAAAGTGATTATGGGTGAACATGCTAAGGAAGATGTGTGATTGGATTCATCAACAACAGTAATCTGATCTTGTAACGACTTAATTCAATAACATTGAGTACCGGTCCTTAAGGGTGTTTACTCCTAAGTCTTTAGTGAGAAAATCTTTAATCATTCAAATTAATCCCTATGGCCATAGTGAATTACAAATGAAATTAAGAATTATTTTAATCAAGAATATTTCGATTTTCATAGGGTATCCCTAGGCCTAGGTGATATCTACTAGGAAATGCTCATAATTAAGTATTAACACTGATTTTTCCAACCTAAATGTTAACACAGATCAAACTCAATTTTACTGAAAGAGAAAGCATTAAGTACAAAACGTAAGTAACTCAAATATAATCAAAATAAGGTCATTACAAGGTTCAGATAGAAATCATCACAAATCCAAATCAGGGACACCCCCTAGCATTGGGGGGTTTAGCTACTCATAGTAATAAAAAAAAAACGTTGTAAAATTTGGAAACATTACAGATCTAGAGATGAAGTAAGTCTTCAATCACTAAAAGCTCAAGAAAATCTTGATACACCTTGAAAATTGGAGTTTTCCAGCCTTCTACACTTGTTTCTGCCGTCAAAATTCGTCCCCAGATCAATCTAAACCTCAAAAAGTCACTTTCTGGCTTTAAATACTCGAAACTGGATTTTTTTGCGATTCTGGGTGCCCATACGAGGTATATGAGGCAGCTAAAACGTGCATTTTAGGTGTTTCATACGCGTATAGGGCGTATGGGGGCAGGCCATACGCGTATGGGCAGAAACATGTATTTTTTCAGATCTGATACGCGTATGGGCAGACAATTCCGAATTAGCCTTTGGTTTCTTCATAAAATTTTAGCTCTGAATGTTAACTTTCCTTTGCCGCTGGTCCCATGTCATTTCGATTTACGACGCTTTAGTTATGATCAAAACATGACATGCCTATGATGGGGTAAAACGTGCTAAAAAATAGATTTTGTGAATTTTTCTGAAAATTCGTCGCGTTCCTTTTCCGGTCATTTCTTTAACTTCCTCCAACTTACAAAACACGTTAGGCTTTCCAAAAAGATCAAAAATACCATGATAATTAAAACACAGAAATACGGAAGTTAAAGAAGCTGACATATAAACGCTCAAACTTTATGGAAAATGCAAATTACTCGCATACTTTCACCAGTTAAAATGATAATAACTATAGCAGAAATGGTGACTGATCAGCCGGGGCATACAGCTTCAGTGAAATTGTTTTCAATTTCTCAAACTGAATAATGTTTTTGTTATGCTTGACAGGAGAATACCCAGGAAAACACAAGAAATTAGGAAATTGCCTGACAGAATCCTTCAAGTTGGTTTTGTTGATTGGTATGTCTTTTCATTTCATTTCAAATTTTGTGCTGGATAAGTATTTATTATTTTTCCGATTTCTCAGTACCAACAAATTAACTGGTTCTTTAAAAATCGTAAAGCCGCATAAACAGATGCAGTCAATGTAAATTACTGTATAACCATTTGGGATGTTGCCTGATATGATATATGATGTATGCTCCTATTCTCTTATCTTGTGTAGTAAGCAAACTTAAGTAATGTATTTTTCCCTCCATATGAATGTCTTTTATTCTAAAAAAAGAAAAGAAAGGAAACTTGAATCTTACAATTTATGAGGCTGTGACTCTTCCTGTAGGGAAAATAAATAGGATAGAAACATACGGATGTAATCTCGAGTGAAGTTTTCTAACAAATTGACCTCATATACCTAGGGCCAGTATTAAGTGCCACAAGAAAGAACATTTTTATGAAAAACCAACGATTATGTTGTCGGCTTGGTAGTAAGACGACATACATTTTAATAGACAACAATACTGTGTTGTGGCTCTATCCAAACCAGATGGCCTGCCTAAACTTTTCACTCTTATGCACAAATTTAGTCATTTGTACTGCCGTGATTAAGAATTGTGTGTATAGCCTTATTAATTTTTCACATAGGAGGAAATTTGGACAAGCTTTGCATTAAATAGTGTATTCTACTGTTTTTTTTGTGGTATAATATCCAGCTATGATCTTTGCAGGCGTTGTTTTCATGGCATTTGGTCCAAGTTATTCTTATTCCCTCATTAGATTGTTGTATGGAAAAAATGGAGTGATGGAGAAGCATCAATTGTTCTCCGCTACTATTGCTTTTATGTCATTGTTTTGGCTATGAATGGTAAGTCACCTTCTCTCTTGTTGTTAAATTTCTTAGTCGTTAAATATAATAATACTTTTTTTTTGTTACAATGGTTCTTGGGGCTTTATGCTGTAGATGAAGTAGAAATTAGTAAATTCAATGTCAGTTTTATTGTCATGACTCTTCATAGTTGAGTACAGCAGAAGACTAGCCAACAGAATATGATAAATTTTAAGCATATTCCATCTACTATTAGCAACTACCAAATAGAGTAATCTAGGGGATTTATCCACACAACATGCTACACAATGTACAATTTGAGTATATTATGAAAATTAGGAAATCATTCGTTTTATGAGTAGGAAATAATTCCCAGAACAAAACAATATTGAATAATGACAAGAATGAAGATTGCAAAAGAAAGACTAGAATTCTTAATTTAACAGCAAAAGGATAAGAAAAGTATATACTATTAACAAGCAGAACAACCTCATAACAGTATACCGCTGTCCCGAAATAGGGTTCTGTTGACTAAATCACATGAGTTAAGAAAGTTGGTAGTAGTAATACGTCAAGCCACACGCAGCCACAAAGCTTTGTGCATTCCAGCATGTGAGCCACACGCGCAACCTTCTTGCCTCTTCTTTTTGTGCGCCGCTGCACTAAATCGATGGACAGGTTGATCGATTAAAGGCTTGGCTAGTGTAAAAGGATATACTCAAGTCTATGTTTAGGATTACAGTGGTACTCTTTCTTCAGCTGTGAATATGACATTTGTCCGCCTCATTACAGTTATGGCTGTCATGAAACGTCGACCCTTATTTCAGTTAGATATCAAAAATGCTTTCTTGCATGAAGAATCGGAAGTGGAGATTTATATGGACCAACCTCCTGGATTTGTTGCTTAAAGGGGGTGTAGTATGGTATGCAAATTGAGAACTCCCTTATATGGCCTTGAAACAATCACCTCAGGCATGGTTTGGTCGATTGAGCAAAGTTCTACAGCAGTTTGGGATGACTCGTTGCTAATCAAATCACTCGTTGCTAATCAATTTTCATTTTTTTTGTGAGGTTGGTATTATGGAACTCGTAGATTTGGTTCATTCGAATGCCTAATGCATAATGATGCATTAACATAGTTAAGTATTGTTATGAATCCTCAATGGATGAGATATAATTTAGGTAGGCCTAACCCAAAATTCAAAGAGGTATGAACCATTATGCACTTGCTTATTTCCCTCGTTTATAAACTAGCTACCCTGTTGGATTACATTCTTCATTATGCACTTGCTTATTTCCCTCGTTTATAAACTAGCTACCCTGTTGGATTACATTCTTCAACTGCTTATAATGTTTATGTTTCTTTTCTCGATTCAGGAACATCTGAAGCCTTTATGCATGCAGTTGCAACAGAGAACCAACTCAGGAGTTCAAATGATTCACTACTTGTATTCTCTTTGATCTCCGTAGTTCTGAATGTCCTACTAATAAGGCTATATGGGTCAGTTGGCTTGATCATGGCAAATTCTCTTAGTATCCTTTCTATCTTCTGGTTACCTGTGCACCAATCCTGACAGTTGCTTATTTTATGCTATTCAATGTTTTCTTTCCTTACGGAAACCACGACGACGCTCAAACACATATCGGTTATATTGTTTATGGCCCAATGATGAAATGAAGTTTTGTTTTGATCCTTCACTCAACTAAAGATATGACTTTGAGGATTTTATATTCCGCGATGTTCATTAAGGATTACTTCAAGGTATGATAACTAACTGGCTTTTGATTCGGCTGAACATAATTTGATGCAAATATTAACACTGGCTTTCATATTTTATTTTAATTTCTCCACAGGGATCTTCCACCTTTTCTTTTCGTGGCTGCTTTCCTTCAGGATGGGTTATTCTGTTACTTTCAAGCGTAATCACTCTCGTTTCCGAGAATGCAGTTTTGGACCAAGATAATTTCTGGCCAACGTTTACGATCTATTTCTCTGTTGGGCTGGCTTGCTTCTGCGTGTCATCATACGTGATGTATATTCATATTTTCCTTTGATTTTGACTTCTAAGATCTTCTATTGAATACAATTGTCTATCTTTCGCTTTCTTCTTTGTTAATATACTTTTGTCTTTATCTTTAGCTACCGTCGGGAAAAACCTTTCATCAAGAAAATCATCCGCTTTCGCGACCACTCGGGCTAATGAACTTCGGAGCAGACAACATAAATTTCGGTACATGCATAATACTACTTGATCCAGATTTTTGTAAATTAAAGTTAACTTAACGAATAGACAATGAGAGTGCATTATAAGTTTTCAATTAACTTATAATGATAATTGAAAATCTTGAAAACAGTATAAGATTTATGAGTGACTTATTCTGCTAGTGATTCTGTTTAGTGTGTGAGGCAGAAATGTTAAAAGTCAAAACCAATCCAGAAAAAGCAAAAAGCTATTGGGTTGGCCTCCAATATGGTAATAATAATCTTTGAAAAGCTTGAAAAAAAGTAGAAAAAAAGAGAAAAGAAGATAAAACAGGAAGCTTATGATTAAAATGTAGACTATGATTTAAAACCAGTATCCAATTAAGAGCGTGCATAAAGTGTATTCATTTTCTAAAACAAAATGATGCCATTTGTTGAGTTTTGCTTGAATTCCTTGATAGATGGATTTCATAAAACTTTTTGGATTTTTGCTTTAAATTGCAGCATTGCATGGTTGCCTCTTGTACATGTTCAATGAAGAAGCTACAAACATGAAGAATTAAATCAAACAGAGGATGAAATTGTTACTAGTTTTTGTTTAAACATAAGACAAAATAAAACTTACATTTCTAATGAAGTTGTGCAAATAAAAACCACTTCAAACTAAGTTATAATATAAAGATCAATTTTATAAAACTAATGTCACCGTGGATGCTACCAAATCAAATTTGTTACTTGTGAAACATGATTTTAGTGGGAGGTTTTAACTTGTCACTCCAGTTTTACCTGACATTTCCACATTTAGAGAAATTTTACTGCTATACCCTTTCATATATATCGATTTTTTTTTGAAATTTACCTGTTTTTATTGAGAATTTGGAGTCTATATCGAAATTTTGAAAAAATATTAGAATTTTTTAAAATTTCCGGTAAAAAATAAATATTTCTAAATTTTTTTTTGAAGAAATATCCAAATTTAAAAAGAAAATTCAAAATTTTGAATTTTTTACACTAATTTCAAACTTAACACTTTTCGAATTTTTTGATAAACTATAATTTTTTTGAAATTTTTGAGAATGTTAAATTTTTTCTTTTTATGTTGAATATGAATCACGGAAGATTTTAAAAAAATCATGAAAATAAGGTAATATGAATTTATTTTTTGATAAATTTGATATTTTAATTTTTTTAAAAAAACCAATAAAAAAATTGATATTGAAAATTTAAAAATAAACTGAGAATTTGGTCTGTTACTGAAAATTTATAATGAATTATAAAAAACTTACTGTGTTTATTCAAAATGATCTATGAACAGTTTAGAATTTATGAAAATATATGAAGTGTCAAATACAACTCTGGAGTAGCAAGTTAAAACTTTTTTTAGTGAAACTAGAGCCGACCCAATCATTTTGGAGATTTCGTTTTAATTTAAAAAAAATCTAAATTTTTTTAAAAAATGATTAAAATATTTAAAAAAAACACATAAAAAATGTAAATATAAATTAATAAAAAATAAATTTAATTATAAACATTTTGAGTTTTGATTAATCTCAACTATTTTATGTATTGGATTTTTATAATAATATTTATTTATTTATTAAATTTTATCATAACATTTTGTTTATTTCTATTAATACTTTAAAATTTAGAATTATATGGTACAGTGTTTGTTGCACTTCCACAAGATCGGTTTTAAGTGAAATATAAGTGCTTGTTTGCGATTATAAAATTCTTTTCATATAAAAGCTTCAATTTAGTGTCAAGAAAGATTGATTTAGTTAATAAGAAACACTAAACCAATCATTAGTTAATAACTAATCCAGTTAACATTCTTTGAATTTTGAGACATTAATTCATCTAAAATTTGTATCATTTTTTAATGTAGTTAAAAGTTATACAAAGAATTACGTTAGGTGGAAAATTTTACATTGAATTCTAAATCAAACTCGCTGTTTAAAAATGTGATACTAATAAGGGTAAATTTTAAAGGCACATTAGAAATTAAATAGATAGAATTTATTAACTATTTAAGAACAATCACGATTGATTTTACATATCTTTGGTAAAGTATTCTTTTGCAACAAACACCATAAGAATATTAATAAAACATGGCATGTAATGATTATTTATGGGACCCTATAATCCTAAATTCTCTTGATTAACTTGCTTTTAATTAAATTCGCTTAAGATCTCATAAAGGATCACCAACAACCAAAGCTTAAAGTTTTGAATTTCTCATCACTAAGCAAATAGAACAATTTTAGTACTCATTAATTTACTACCGTAATTAACTAATTAATCATAACAGGCTATTATGTCAATCAATTTTTAATATTTAAAAAATAAAAAGAAGGAAAGAGAAAAATGTCATAGATTCTATGTATTCTTCTTAAGGAAAATTTTAACTTTGGCCATTCACAATTAAAATTCATTAGAAAAAATTGAAATTTCTTGTAATTAAATATGTAATCATAGTTATGCATGATTGAATTTGAAGACACTTTCCCAAAGGGTGTATAAATAGCAATTATAAACTTGAGTTAAATTAAGTAATTTGGTAAAATCTTGACTTATAGGAAAAGTGTCACATGCTCTCACTTCAATCTTCTTCAAAAACCATCATAATTTTGTCTCCACTATCATTACAAAAAAAAACTAAAATTAAAAAACTATAATGCAAATTCAAATCAAAAGAGACAAAATATGAGAAAGTGAAGAGCTAAAACAACTATTTCATGTCAAAAAATAATAAATATTATTAATATTTATTCTCTGCAAAAAGAATGTGGATGGACCCCAATACCATCAAGTCTTTACTTTTACCACCCACCTCATATTCCTTTCAAGTATACTTTTTCATCATTCCTTTGTGGGCCTCTCTCTATTTTCTTTCTTTTATGTAACTATTTCCATAACACACTCCATTTTGTTTATATCTCTCCTTTTGCATATGTTGTTTTTTCTTTTTACAGCTTTAACCTTCTTTTCTTGCCTCTCATACTCATAGCTAGCCTTAGCCCTTAGCCCTTAGTTTTCACACCCTCTCTTACTAGGCATGGATTTTTGAACTAGGATCAGTTGCTTTCAAAATATTTCAAAATATTCATGGATTCTCTCGTTAAATTAACTACTCAGATGCGAATTTGATCTACAATTTGTTTATTTTTAAAAGATGAATTTCAGCTATTAAACTATTTAACAAAAAAATTGATACATTACAGCAATACTAAAACATAAGTATAGTTAAATTCACATTAAATGATCACGTTAAAGCGTCAAAACAACTTATTTAATAGATGTTTATAGACATCCATTTGCTCTGTAGCACAAATTTAAATTTATGATATTTTATATATTTATTTTTAAGAGGGGAAATTTCAACTATTAAATTATTTAAAAAATTCAGATCAAACAATTTAAATCTTAAAGTTATTTAATTCCCGTGCATGATTCTCTATGCATTTAATACACTTATTGGTAAGAATCTCATTTTGAATTGTACCTAAGTGAGAAGAAAAAAAAGAATGTATGGTTAATTATAGGTTGTATTTATGTCAATATGGTTCTATGGTAATGGTACTACATTACTTAGCTATATATACAATAAATTATTGGAGACATATTAGTCCCAAATATAATGACATTTTTTGCTTTGTTAATTACTATAAATGATTATGGGACTGTAGTTTTAGCTTCTAACCTATAATTAATCAATGCATTTCTTAAGTGATATAGCAAAATTTGAATTTTTTTCCATCCTGCCACAGTTTTAGAAGATAAATCCCCAAATGCCATACTTTTACACATAAATTCCAAAGTGCCATGTTTTCAAAAAAAATTAATTTTTGGAACAATGTAACCGCCCATTCATTGGGCAGCACTGTTTTTCTGAAATAGGGAACCGCCCATCCATTGGGCGGCAGTGTGTATGATGAATTTTTTCATTTAATTACATTTATTACATTTATTATGGTATTTGGGGATTATTTTTTAGTTTTAAATTTTGTTTGTTACAATTATTATGTTTATAACATTATTTTTAAATAGATAATATTTATTACATTTATTATGTTTATAAATAGATAATATTTAGATATTTATTATATTTTTTACATTGTTTTTTATTTATTATGTTTATTAAATTTAGTTAATAATCATTAAATAGATAATTATAGTAAATTAAAATAAAAATAATTATTTTAAAAATAGTACTAATTAAATTAAATTACTACAATAAATATTTATTTATAAAAAATTAAATGAAATATATAATAATAATTATAAAAAAATACAATAAATAAACTAAAATAAATATTTATTTATTCTTGAAAATTAATATATATATATATATATATATATATATATATATATATATATATATATATATATATATATATATATATATATATATATATATATATTATAAAAATTAATATATATACTATTATTATTATTATTATTATTATTATTATTATTATTAGTTTTTATAATAGTATATATATTAATTTTTATAATAGTATATATATTAATTTTTATAATAATATATATATATATATATATATATATATATATATATATATATTAATTTTCAAGAATAAATAAATATTTATTTTAGTTTATTTATTGTATTTTTTTATAATTATTATTATATATTTCATTTAATTTTTTATAAATAAATATTTATTGTAGTAATTTAATTTAATTAGTACTATTTTTAAAATAATTATTTTTATTTTAATTTACTATAATTATCTAGTTAATAATTATTAACTAAATTTAATAAACATAATAAATAAAAAACAATGTAAAAAATATAATAAATATCTAAATATTATCTATTTATAAACATAATAAATGTAATAAATATTATCTATTTAAAAACAATGTTATAAACATAATAAATGTAACAAACAAAATTTAAAACGAAAAAATGAATCCCCAAATACCATAATAAATGTAATAAATTTAATTAAATGAAAAAATTCATCATACACACTG